TAGATGAGTTTGACAGACCAACATGCTCCGGCTTTGCAGTCAAACACCATTGCTCTCTACCCCAGGCAACCACTGATGTGATTTCTCTCACCAAAGATTGCTTTTGCTTGTTCCATAACTTCATACAAGTGCAATTTTATAAGGTGTATTCTTTTATATCTGCCTGCTTTTTCTCATAATAATGTTTTTAAGATTTGTTCTAGATGCTGCATGCATGAGTAGTTAGATTCTTTTTCTGCTGAGTACTACATCATTGTAAGATATACCATAATTTGATAATCTATTTACCAGTTGATGGAAATTATTTTTGTCTAATTTAAAGTTATCTTAAATAAAATTGCTATGGATATTTGAATACAAGTCTTTGTTTTTACATGATTTTATTTCTCAGGTAAACAAGTACCCAGGGATGACATTGTTCAATCATATGGTAGATGTATGTCTATAAGATATTATCACACAATTTCAAAGAATTGTACCAGTTTACATTTCTTCCAGCAGTATATGAGGGTTCTAGTTGTATATCCTTGTCTACATTTGGTACTCTAGATATTAGTCTGATTTGTTCTTAGAGAGCAACAATATTTTTCATATTGGCTAGATGACTATCAGGAGAGGAACAAAAATGATATATCTTGTAATAAAGAAGCAGGCTTTCTGATTTATGAACACAATAGCTTCTCACCCAAGTATGAATAAGTAGGAGAAATGCAACAGAATTGGCCAAAGATTCCAAACACTTTTATTTAAAATTTATCTTGGCCAGTATTACAGTGAATAAAAGAAGGCCAAATGTTACAAGTTTTCCATAAATTTAATTTTAAAGCTATGTGCTTTATTCTGATATTTCTATTCCTTTTTTTATATTAAAATTTTCTCATTTTTCCACAAAGAAGTTAGATTATATATGATAGTTTTATTTATTTTTATTCTACAGTTTTCATAAATCTCCTAACTGAACAAAAGTAAAATATGGCCACACTAATTAAGCAAAATGTGATTTTCAAACTTTATTCTTTCATGAAATCTAAATTCTAGGAAACCTTGACATAGGCACTAAATAGTCTCTATGGCACTTATAGTCAACCTTCTCAGGCTCAAGATGAATTTCTGATTACTACAGAGTTATAAAAGCTTTCAACCAAAAAATAGTTAAGCTGGAAAGGTGTTTAAAAATTTACCAAATTCAAATAACTCCATTTTTAGATTAAGAAACTGAGGCCTCAAGTGAAGAAATATCTTGCCATTCTGCTTCTTTTGGCTGTGTTAGGAATAGAAATGATGTAGTGTTTTTTGTTTGATTGTGTTTTGTTTTGTGTTGTTTTTACTTAGCTCTCCATTATGTTGGAATGTATCAGAACAGTAAGCTGTGTCTTAGCCTTTCCTTGTCTCCACAATAACATTACTTTTATTAGTATGATCCTAATGAGCTCTGTATTTTTTATAGTATTAGGGAATGCCTGAAACCAAAATCCATTCTCTTGGAAGGATCTAATTAGCCAAGATTAAAAGAAAAGTCTCTCTCTCTCTCTCTCTCTCTCTCTCTCTCTCTCTCTCTCTCTCATCAGTCTTTTTTAAAAATATATATTTTATTGATTTTTTACAGAGAGGAAGGGAGAGGGATAGAGAGTTAGAAACATTGATGAGAGAGAAACATCGATCAGCTGCCTCCTGCACACTCCCCACTGAGGATGTGCCCACAACCAAGGTACATGCCCTTGACCGGAATCGAACCTGGGACCCTTCAGTCCGCAGGCTGATGCTCTATCCACTGAGCCAAACCTGTTAGGGCTCTCTCATCAGTCTTTAGTCAAGATTTGGAAGAGAAATTAGAGAAAGTTTTTTGATCAATAACTCTTGGCTCTATCCAGGCCAAAAATACATTTTTATATAGCTGGATCTCCCCACTTGAACTTGTTTTTTGTTTGTGTGTTTGTTTTTACATTAATCTAGTTTTAAAATAAAATATGATGTGGCTTGGAAGAGTCTGTGGATTCTCTGTCTGGCTCCTTCCATTCCCAGATTCTCCACTTTTTTAAGTTTCCCAGCTTCAAAACTGCTGGGGTCCAACCCCAGCAGGTCCAGGGGTCCCCAAAGGTGTGGACGGAGTCGGCGAGTAAGGAATGACACGGAGACAGCGTTCAGTTGTTCAGCAGCCTAGCCAGGATCTCCAGCCAGGATCTCCAGCCAAGTTCTGGTCTGGATCTCCAGAGAGGTTCTGCTTAGGATCTCCAGCCAGGTTCTGTGTCCACGTTCTCTTGCTAGGTTCTCCAGCCAGGTTCTGTAGCCATGTTCCCTCGCTAGGTTCTCCAGCCAGGTTCTGTCCAGGTTCTCCAGCCAGGTTCAGTCATCAGGGTCTAGTCAGGTTCTTTTGCCAATTTCTGTAGTCAGGTTCAGTCCAGGATCTTTTGCCATGTTCTCTCGCTAGGTTATGTCTCTAGGTTCTGAGGCCAGTTTCTGTCCAGGATCTTTTGCCATGTTCTCTCCAGCGAAGTTCTGTCTCTAGAGAACGTTCTGTGTAGGTTCTGTGCCTAGGTTCTGTCTCTCTTGGTTCCGTATTCTAAGTTCTGTGTTCTAAGTTCTGTCTCTTGCTGTCTTATTACATCTGTATTTATACCAGTTGATTCAATCCTATCAATCTCTATTACAAAGGTTAGGGCGTTTCTTATCTCCATTCCAGGGAGTAAAGATTATGTAGCTTAAGCATGATTGTTCGTAGTTAAAGTGATTAATTACCCACCTGGCACTAGTTAAGAGGTTTTATTCCCTCCCTAACTTCAGGGGAAAATCCCTACCTGGGGAAACAACCTTTCTCAGAGACCTTGGTTAAAACACATAGTGCCAAGAAGGTGAGCAAACATATTAAGAACAGTATGCTATATATGCCAGGTCCCTTGAAACAGCAAGCATGGACCGGCTCCCGGCACAAAACAAGGACAGTTGATATATTTACCACATAAGGTTGTAGTAAGAATTGAATAATGAGCCACATATCAGGAATAGAGTAGAATATAGTAGACAGGTATGATAATGATAAAATGTTACTTCCAAGATTAGGTTGCAAAAGACTATGACTTCCATGTTGGATGCTTTCCCCTTCATTGCTCTCTTATGCTGGGAGAAGCCAACTGCCATATTATGAGGCACTGCTCTGGAAAGATCCACGCAGTGAAAGATTGAGGGTGGCCAGCAATCATGTAAATGAGCTTAGAAGCCCCTCCTCCCACAAATCCAGCTAAGCTTTCAAATCCTCGTGACTGTGAACTCATGAGAAAACTTAAGCGAAAAGCACCCAGCTAAGCCATGACCAGATTCCTCATCCATAGAAACTATGAGATAATAAATATTTGTTGTTTTGTGGCACTAAATTTCTGGGTAATTTGACATACAGTGATATAAAACTAATACAGTGAATGTGCAAAAATTTTATTTTTTAAAAATTTAAATTCTTTATTGTTTAAAGTATTGCGTATGTCTCTTTTTCCCCCCATTGACCTCCCCCCCTGCGGCTGCCACCCCTCACCCCCAGCATATGCCCTAAACCCCCTACTGTCTGTGTCCATTGGCTATGCTTATATGCCCTCCCACACACACACACTCTTCCCAGCCTTCCCTCTGAGGTTGGACAGTCTGTTTGATGTTTCTATGTCTCTGGATCTATTTTTGTTCATCAGTTTTTGCTGTTCATCATATTCCACAAATGAGTGAGATCATGTGATATTTATCTTTCTCTGACTGGCTTATTTTGCTTAGCATAATGCTCTCCAGGTCCATCCATGCTGTTGCAAATGGTAAGAGTCCTTTTTATAGCAGTGTAGTATTCCATTGTGTAGATGTACCACTGTTTTTTAATCCACTCTACTGCTGATAAGCACTTAGGCTGTTTCCAGGTCTTAGCTACTGTAAATTGTACTGCTATGAACATAGGGGTGCATATATCCTTTCTGATGGGTGTTTCTGGTTTCTTGGGATATATTCCTAGAAGTGGGATTACTGGGTCAAATGGGAGTTCCAACTTTCACTTTTTGAGGAAACTCCACAGTGGCTGCACCAGTCTGCATTCCCACGAGCAGTGCACAAGGGTTCCCCTTTCTCCACATCCTTGCCAGCACTTGTTGTTTGTTTATTTGTTGGGGTGTGCAAAATTTTTAAAATAATTTTCTCCCCATATTTTTATGACATCAGTAATTCTTAATCATTTTTAACTTTTTCATATGTAGCAAATCTTATTATCCAGTCACTAGTCATGCACAAGTGGGGTCCCTCAGCCTGGTCTGCACGATTGGGCCAAAACCGGCTCTCTGACATCCCCTGCGGGGGTGCAGACCAGGCCAAGTGACCTCACTGGTGCACAATTGGATTTGGGGAGGGACCAAAGGAGGGCTCCAGGCGTGTCTGGCCCATCTCACTCAGTCCCGATCAGCCAGACCCCAGCAGCAAGCTAACCTACTGGTAGGAGTGTCTGCCCCCTGGTGGTTAGAGCACGTCATAGAGAGTGGTTGACTGGACTTAGCATATCATTAGCATATTATGTTTTGATTGGCTGAACAGCCGACCGGTCGACTGGACACTTAGCATATTAGGTTTTTATTATATAGGATATATCTTTACTATATTGATTTTAACTCTTTTTTCAATATTAATATAGTCTATGTCAACGATTTCCAACCCTTTACATCTCATGGCACAAATAAACTAATTACTAAATTTCTGCTGCACACCAAAAAATATATTTTTTGCTGATCTGACAAAAAAAAAATAAATAGGTATAATTTTAATTGATTTACACCAGATGGCTATCAATGTGTTGGCTGTTGTCATTTTTTTATTTGACAATCTAAGGCAAAAAAGGCTAGTGTCCCTCACTAAACAATCAGGTATTGCATGTTTTAAAAATTTTGGGGGCACACCGGTTGAAAAATCACTGATCTAAGTATGTTAAAATCCAGCATTTACTCCTTATTCTTCTCTCTTACCTCCTCTAACTAGGTGCAAACCCTCCATCATAAAAATGACAGGAAGAGCAGAGACATGAGCCACATCAGTAGGTCTAATCTGCATTCACTTTAACAGGCCACTCAGAGAAAGCTGCCTCCACTTTGCAGTCTTGGAGTTCCTTTCTGAACAGTGCTGCAAAAAAATAGGATGAATTATTGATCACACAAATGAAGAAAAATGGTTAGTAGATGAAATAAAAGGAAAAATATCTGGTACCAGAAGTTGCCTCAGGCATACAGAATTAATTTAACACTCCCTCCCCCTTTAACATAAATTCCCTTTATTTATGGCTTCATTTTTTGTGGTCCCATCATTCTTAAATTCCTTTCCAAATATCCCCCAGGAAAAAGCTAGCTACACAATTTTCATGTTTGCCCCTTCTTTTCTTACTCTATATCTATATAATGTTATTTACCATAATCTGAGTTATCAATTGGCTGTGCAATTAGGAACATAGTGACACAGTGCAATTTTTGCTGAGGTAGTAACTCTATTTGATTAAACAGTCACTGTGTATTTTGTCATCTCAATTTGGAGTCACAAGGAAATAAATGTTCTTGCATCCCGTGTGTGTGTGTGTGTGTGTGTGTGTGTGGATGTGTGTGATTTAAATATTTTTAATTTTATTTTTTTAGTTTTGGTTTACCAGTATAATTTCTACTAAATTTACTAAAGCAGCTCTATTGATGTATAATAACTAAGCCTGATATATGTACTTTTCCTAAATACTAAGTCATAGATTCTCCTTCTGAATAACCTTTCTAATGACTATTAGACAGTCCCTATTTTCCTAAAATGTTATCTCCTCATAAAATGGTGTTAATTAATGACTATTTTCCTGTCTGACTTTCTAATTTTGTTTTTCCCATATTATGTTTAATATCCTATCTAATAAAAGACAAAAAGGGTAATTGACTGAACCTTTGCTATGCTTCCCATTGGCTAGTAAGTGAGATATGCAAATTAACCGTCAACAAAGATGGTGGCTGGCAGCCACGCAGCTGAAGCGAGCACGAGGCTTGCTTGCTCCAGTGATGGAGGAAGCCAAGGTTCCCCGCCTGCTGCGGCCCGGCTCTGAGCTCCGATAGCAACAAAGTTTCAATTATAGAAGATAAACAAACCCCAGATACCTGCTTTCAGCAGGCCATGGCCTCAGTCCTTCAGCGAGCAGGTGCCAGCTCTCAGCTCCAGTGATAGCAACGAAGTTTCAATTATAGAAGGTAAATAAATCCCAGAATAATAATTAAAAAAAAGAGAATAGGCTGGGAGCTACAGTATCCTGCCAGCCTGAAAATGGCCCTCAGCCCCTCACCCAGACTGGCCAGGCACCCCAGTGGGGACCCCCACCCTGAAGGGGGTGTGACCAGCAGAAAACAGCCATCAGCCCCTCACCCATGCTGGCCAGGCATCCAAGCAGGACCCCCACTTTGATCCGGGACACCCTTCAGGGCAAACCAGCTGGCCCCCACCCATGCACCAGGCCTCTGTCCTATATAGTAAAAGGGTAATATGCAAACTGACCCAAACAGTAGAAAGACTGGGAATGACTGGTCACTATGACACACACTGACCACCAGGGGGCAGATGCTCAATGCAGGAGCTGCCCTGTGTGGTCAGTGTGCTCCCACATGGGGGAGCTCTGCTCAGCCAAAAGCCAAGCTGATGGCTGCCAGTACAGCAGTGGTGGTGGGAGCCTCTCCTGCCTCCTCAGCAGCACTAAGGATGTCTGACTGCAGCTTAGGTCTGCTCCCTGCTGGCAAGTGGACATCCCCCGTGGGCTGCTGGGCTGCCAAAGGGATGTATGATTGCCTGCTTAGGTCCAATACCCTGGGGATCAGGCCTAAGCCAGCAGGTGGTCATCCCCCGAAGGGTCCCAGACTGTGAGAGGGCACAGGCCGGGCTGAGGGACCCCCCTCTCCCCCGAGTGCACAAATTTTTATGCACTTTGCCTCTAGTTATATTAATAAAATATTACTTATTTCTATTATTACAATGCCCCATGCCAAATCACGAAAATTACTAAGTCCTCCTATCCTTTCTTTCAAGGGTTGACATTCTCATATCCAGGCCAAATTACTGCATTCAAAACAATATATTTTGGCCTCCCAAAATAGCTCTAACCTTCCTCTTGTTGAATTGTTTAAAGGCTTTCCCAGTTTTTACCTAGCTCCTAATTTTATTTTTGCCTACTCAAATAATAATGCTATTCCAATTTTTCCCACATACCTACTGCTCAATGTTTTTACCTCTAATCACTCTAATCTGTTCTCGGGGAGAAGTTCAGGTATCAGGTTATCAGGTATATCCACTTAAAATGAATCTGCTTTATGTATTTCCTCTGACTATGAGGGTACATGTTGCAGTCTTTAGATATTTGTATTATGCCTCCCACAAGTGCCAGATGCTCTGTGCTTAGGCTCACCACTCTAGTACCCATGGGTGTGTAACAGCTTTTGTTTCTACCAAGAGGTTCTAAATTCCACATCTTTAGTATTGGATTCAAAACTATAGTACCTCTTGCCCAACCACCATTTCAGGCTTGATTATATGAGAATTTTATGTTCTATATGAGTGACTCATGTGATATTTTCTAGCATTTTCAACATTTGTCCTAAATGGGTTTCCTTTATAGTCAACCAATGAAAAGCCAACAAGAATACCACAATTTATTATATGAAACATAGTTATGGCCAAACAATACATAACAACTATCTCAAGTACAATAGCTTTCTTGTTGGTATGTTAAAATAAGTTACACCACAGACTTGGGCCTAAGTTAACTTAAAATGTATTAATTCCAAACAATGGCCAGTATATAGCCTCTGTGATTACTCTGATAAAGTTGTGAGCCAGACAGAAACCAATTTAAGAGGGAGATGGAACTACTTCTACTTAAAATAAAGTCATAATTATGGAAGTTTTACATAGAAAAGTATAACATACTTGCCAACTATTGTTATACTGCCATTAATGAAAAGACAATGTATTTTGATGAAAGAGCTACTGGATTTGGAATCATGACACCAGGATTCTGTTTCTTCAACTCATCAGTCGTGGGTACTTGGGTAAATCAAATTCACCACCTGGATTCTACCTTCCTCGTTTGTAAAATATGAAGGTTAGACCAGCTCATACCCTATGTACCTTCTAGCTTTGAAATGTATGATTCCATTTTATTCTAAGCATTATGTCTATTTAAGTCATGCTCATAACCAAGTCAATAAAATAATTATTTACAAGTTAAACTCAGTAACGCCTCAGTGACTGTTATATATTAAATGTCTGTGTCCTCCTAAAATTCATATGTTGAGAACTTTATGCTCTCAGTGTTCATATTAAAAGTGGGATTGGTGCCCTTATAAAAAGGCCTGAGAGATCCCTCCCCCTGCAACAAAGAGAGGACACAGCAAGAACACGGCCATTTATGAACCAGGAGGCAGAACATCCGCAGGCACAGAAACTGACCATATGGACACCCTGATTTTAAATGTCCACACTCCAGACTGTGAGAAATAAATTTGTTGTTTTTAAGCCACCCAGTGTATGCTATTTTTCCATAACAATCCTAATAGACAAAGACAGAGACCAATCAATGCCTTGGATCATCTGTTCAGTTACTTTCATCAGCCTTGATGAATAAAAATCACCTCTTTCTAGTACGTGTATTCATAACCTAGTCTTTCTAAGAAGAAACTCTCCTCCCATGTTAGTTATGAAGGCAGGACACTGGCTCAGTACTAGTAGATCATATTGGAGCATTGGCCACTTGGCCTTTTTAACCTTTTATGGGGCAACCTGAAGCTTCATCTCCCTTGAGTATGTTTATTGCTTCTAAATGTTTTGAAAGTATTAAAACCACTTTATCAAGTGACTTTCTCATTGCAAGACTTCTTCCTAAAGCACAATAGGTAATGCCTTACATGGAATAGCAATGTCACTATTACAGCACGTATGGATGGTTATTACTTTTGATTAAAATTAAATTAAATAGCACTTGAGAAATAAGGAGAGATTTAATTATGCTGTAAAAACTGTCAGCCTTTCATTTTTAACATCTGTTAGACACGCATGCCAGGAGCAATGGCCTGGAGTATTTGCCAGACATTTAGACAACAAACCCTATGAATCATCTGAGAGCTGAGGCAATATGATTTCAAATAGCATGGCTTTCCAAACATGATGACTGGATCCAAATTAAATACACTTGATGACTTCCTGGTTCTAATTTTTCTCCATTTTATGAGGACAAAAAGTGTTTCCAGACTTATTTTTTTCTGTTCATTGTGTTGCATTTAATCTGGCATGGATGTCTGTGCTGCAGCACAGAGCTGGAGTTCTGCGAAGACCGTGTTTGCCTGGAAAGTGCCAAATGTGAAGGGCTTTTACTCCTGTGTGAAGTTCTATTAAGGTTATTTTTAACTTTGATATTTAAAAGTCAAAATCATTGGGACTTTCAGCTCTGGAAAATGTTTTTGGCCTAAACAGTTTGGGATCAATGCTAACTGATTAGCATACAGGAGGAACCCAGGCAGCAGCTGGAGATGCGTCTGGTAAATACACTTTTCTTTCAGTTATTTCCTTACTCATCAATGTATGGATAGTGAACTGGAATATGACTTTGTAAAAGTAATAGCCTCTCCCAGCTCCTCTTTCTTCATTTGTAAAAATGAAACAGGATTTCGAGTAGATAAGCATTCTGAGCTTTAAAACTCAATGATCCTTAAGAGACTTCATCTCAAGATGGTGAGGTTTATAACTCTTATTTTCTTCTTTCCTCTTATTTTTTTTTTCTTGATTTAGGGCTTTCTTGCTCTTTCTTCCTTTCTTCGTTTCTTTCTTCCTTTCTTCCTTCCTTTCTTTCTTTCTTTCTTTCTTTCTTTCTTTCTTTCTTTCTTTCTTTCTTCCTTCTTCCTTCCTTCCTTCCTTCCTTCCTTCCTTCCTTCCTTCCTTCCTTCCTTTCTTCTTTCTTTCTTTCTTTCTTTCTTTCTTTCTTTCTTTCTTTCTTTCTTTCTTCTTTATTTCCTTCCTTCTCTCTTTCTTTTTCTTTTTTCCCTTCATTTTTAACCAAATAAGTTTATGTTGCTTAAACATAACAAAAATGCTATTTATTTTCCTTTTGTAAAAAATTATAA